TTTTTACAAGGGTGTTCATCCTTTATCTACTGTTGAGGAGACAAGAGTAAAAGGTTTCATTATGTCTAATTTTAAAACTGATATAGAATATGGTTTAGAATATTTACCGGAAAGTTTATCTCATTTTCAGTGTTCAATGGGAGAAAGGAAGGATGCAAAAGTGGCTGGTATTATGATAATTTGTGAGGGAGGAATTCTTAGAAATGCAGATCGAAAAATTCTTCACCTCGCCCAACTCTCCATCCAAACTGAAAAAGAAAAAATTCTCTCCCAAATTGATGAAAATCTAAGAAAAGAAAATGAGAATTTAAGTAAACAAAATCAAGAGTAATCAAAATCATTTAACAAATTGTCGTTGCATGAAACCCTTTCTAAATGGGACAGTCCAGACAAATCCAAGCAGGTCAGCCGGTTATAAGAGCAGTTAAGTTTCTCTAAGTTAACAAAATCCCTTAAATCTAGGCGACCTTCTAAATCTCTTTCTCTTATATATAAGTTTCTTATTGAACTTCTTATCTTTATCGGATAATTTTGTTCTAATCACTTTTGGGCTGACTCTTTTTCTCTTCTAATTCCTTGTTCGACATTTTTTTCACCCCAAATTTGGTAATCATAATTATAATCTTTTAATTGGTCTTTAATTCCGCCTTTTTCATTTATTTTCGCCTTCTTTATTTTTGAAATTTCCCTATTTTCATCTCAGCCTTTCCGAAAAGTAATTTTTCTAATGCTTTCTGGTAAGTATTCTAGTCCACCATCTAGGTCGGTATTAGCAATACCAAGATCGCACAGGTTTTTCATTTTACTCAAAAATCTTAGGGAACCAGAAAAATGACTATAAATTCCTTTATTTATTCTTTCTTCTTTACAAGTTCATATTCGTAGACTTTCTAAGTTAACAAATCTTTCAAAAAATCCTAAATTAGGGCGTGCTGAATCATTATTTCCAAAATTATTGTCGCCCATGTCTAAATTAATTAATTCTTCAGGATTGGGCAAATCTTTTAGAAAATTAGCATCAGTTAGTTTGTTAACACAACAATTAAGGGCAGTTAACTTTACGCACCTTTCACCTTATATTAATATAAAAAGAGTAAAACTTTTAAAACGGACTCCCAATACTAAACATTTTGTTTATTTAAATGAAACTTCAGGTTCAAAATTAAGTTTAATTCCTATAATACGAAAGTTTCTTTTTATATCGTAAAAACGCATCTTGCAATCATGGCAACTATCAATTTCTTTTTGCCAAGTAGATAATCAGTATAGTGTCCTTCA